GGAAGGGAAGGGAAGGGAAGGGAAGGGAAGGGAAGGGAAGGGAAGGGAAGGGAAGGGAAGGGAAGGGAAAGAGAAAAGCAGCAACCAAACCCAACACCAGGTCCCCAGACAGATGATGGTCGTGAGGACAGGACACTTCCCGAGCACGGGCAGCACACATGCAGGTAACCCAGCACATACTTTACCCTTTGTGCTATATACTGGCTTGCGGAATCAAGTGTCCAAGGTAGCAGTAACAAACAAAAGTACTAGGTTTACAAAGTTCTCATAAAATGGCAAAAAAAAAAAAAAAAAAAAAAAAAACCACCTAAGTATTTCTAGGAAAAAAAAAATCACAAATAAATGCAAGAACTTATTTAAGATATTAATTGAACACATGTTGGGAAAAAGTCCATTGCCTCCTGAAAAGGAAAACTTTGGCTAGCCAGCAAGTTTAATTTGCCATTTTCTTGTAAGAATCAGTACAGTAAAAATTACTACAGTAATTTTTTTTCTATTGAATGCATTGTGCACCTAAAAATCTAAATATTAATTTCCTTAATGTGTGGGATATTTTTACGTCATACTAAATTTAACACACCACATAAAAACCATATCCTGATTCTTAACATTGTTCTTCTTGTATGCTACAAAATAAAAAGGAAGCAGAAAAGGACTGCTTAAGCCAAGAAGAAAAGATGATAAGTGTGTATAGAACCCAAAATATGTAAGCTAAAATGCAGAAAAAGATGTGGTCTTTCAGAATGCTGAATATACTGGTGTTTTTAACCAAGCCTTAGTAATTAATTCATCTACTTTTGGTAGAAGAATGAGTAAGAAGGAAAACTTATAAGACATACTCTTTTAATCCCTGTGACACTAAGGATAAATAAATATAGAATAATAATGTTTCAGCCTTAAAGGAATAGACTTGAYATTATTGCCTCAAACTATAACCTTCCTCTTCTTTACAACTCGTGCACATTTTCAAACATGGTGAAAGCCGTGGTCTATCAACCGTCCCATCAGCAGCCTTTGCAACWCCCAAGAGTTTAACCAAGTGTCATTCTTGCCCCGTTGCAGCCTACCATCCAGTCCAGAGAATCAAAGAGATTCTCACAAATCCTTTTTCCTTTGGTCAACTGCATCAACTCAGTTTCTAAACCATGATGGGATTTGTAAATTACAACCTTGTGTGTTTTGCTGTTGTTGCTGTTGTTCTGTCACAAACAGACTTATATGAACAAATGATGCCTTGATTCTGTTCAAGAGATTTGTACGTGTTAGGTGACCCTGTGCTGGGTGTGGTGTTTTTCCCCTTCTGTCCACTCCCATGGGAGAATTGCAGGCACAATGCCACTCTGTTATTTTAATAAAATTATGTGTACTGTGCATATATGTACTATGGGCAGTGTGTTTGTATTAGCAAGGCCAGAGAGATGTGATCTAACTTCTGGAAAGAAAAGCGTTGAGAACTGCAACATCTCTTAATTCCTGTGGGAATCTGTTCTAGAGGGTTCTGCTGATCTCGAGGAAGCTGTTAATAGTTTAACCTTATGATGAAAAAAGTCTACTGTGCCTTAAAAGCAGTTTTATTAGTCATAGGCTTCCTTCTTTGAGTTTAGGAAGATAAGCACCTTCACGAGAAAATGCTCTTACTTCACGAGAAAACGTTTTAATATTTTGAATAATTTTAATGTCAGTGGTTGTGTGTTTGCTGCTGAAAATATTCAATGAGTCTTCACATACAAAAAATAAAAAATAACTATAACTATATTTCTCCCTCAAAATATTTTAATCTAGTGTTTCTTTGATTCCTCCTTTAACATTTATATGCTATTACAATAACGAATTTTCCTATCTGTTTTGATGATAGAAATCTGTTACCAGTCACAAAAGACCTGATGAATGACAGCAAGCAGTCAGTCTAGGTGTGTGAACATGCAAACCATCTAAAATATTTTTTTTTTATCATGGGAAACTTAAGCAAATTATTCATATACATGCATACATCACATCAAAAATTACCCTGTACTCCTTTGACAAAGCCCCGGACTCCAGGAGACTACAACCCAGCTGATCAAAATCAGTTCATTCTCATACTATAAGAGCATCTCACTGACTTAATCACGATTAGGTCTCTTGAAAAAAAAATAAAAATAATAAAATAAATGAGTGATGTGAGCTAACTGTTTCCAAATTTTTCATGTGACCAGGATAGGTGGTGTCCGCTGCTGAAGACTGAGCAGCTCCCTTCGGCAAGAGGCAGGAGACTGTCACACTCCTTTCCAGGCCAGGATAAATCCTCCTGAGCCTGATCAATAACCTGTACTTCCTGAATTCATACTGGAATAGCAGCCTCACAATAAAAAGCATCATGGTCTTGATCTAGCTACTTTCTAATAGATGCACGAGCACGCCTGCAAGAAGTGCATTGCATTGCATTCCCTGCAACTGTGAGCAGGAAATCAGAAAGCTAATAGGAAGAGTTAGGGCTTTTCCACTTAAAAAAGTCTATTAGGAAAAAAAATAAATAAAGTCTCAGGTACATGTCCATGAAACTTAAGATACACCTTAGAGCACTTCAAAGGCAAAAACACACAAGCATGGGAAAAGCTGTTTACCAAAAAGTAACATATGATCTGTTACATATTTTAAATCTCAGATGAAATATAAAAAACATACATAGCAAATACTAACTTAATAAAGTTACKTTTGTGAGTAAATACAAACAAGTCCCTGTTTTCTTGAATTTTAACAATTAGTTTCTACTCAGCCACCTCTGAGGAAGCACTAAAGCAATACAGGGAAAAATCCCCTTGAGCTTTCATGTTTGAACGTAGCCAAAAGGAGCTAGAGATATTTTTATATGAAATATAAAACTATATTTTATGTTGGCTTATGGCTAGCATGGTACATTGCCTAGTTCTTGCTTAACAGGAGCATTCAATTAGTTGTTATTTTTCCAAACTAAAAATATWATTTTAGTTACCACCTCCACAAGCTCATTGAGCTACCAGAAAACTGATCTCTGAAAACAATAAACTGACTAAGGATGATGAGCTGCAGGCTGTTTTAAACTGAAGACCATGAAAAGGCATTTCCGCAATGAATAAAAACTCACTCCTATGGGTAATAAAGACAACAGAATAAGTCCAAGCACTGAAAGAGGTATTACAATTATGATAAAAATGTACTTTTCAACCGAAAACATGGTGGGAATCATTATTCTCAACTGATTTCCCTCAAGGCTACCAAAGGAAACATGGCTAAATACTAATGCCCCACTGAGCTGGCATGCCACTCCTCAGATAATGCTCTTTTTAATGCTGAGAGAAAAACAGTGCTCAGCTCCACAGCAACATCATAAGCTGCCAGAATGCTAACCAGTCATTAATTCAAAATTGAAGATACGATAAAGAGAATAGAACAAAATATTTATATTTAAGAAATGAAAGTCACATTTAATTCTAAGAGCTTGTTTTCATTTTAAGAGTTCTATTCTTTTCCTACATATGCCTATCTTATTTAAAATAATAMATTTCTTACTTTTTTTTAGAGAAAGTAAGTCTTGAAGCTCAGTGTAAAGTAAATAAACCCTGCATAATGATAGGAGATAGTCAGATTCTTCATCCTATTTAAAAAGGTCACTAAAGTTCACAAGACACCTGCTGCAAATGCCCTTAATTTAAAAAAAAAAAAAAAAAGTGATCAGCAAGAGTGTGATTGATTCTCACTAATGCAGAGAATGAAGGTGCTACACTTTGAATTCAAAGTGAGATCCCCACGATCATAAAAGATGATTTTTTGATAGGAAACAATGATCACTGCTGTTTCCTAAAACACAGGCACACAAGTTTTTCAYCGGTCTCACACACTTCCTTGCAGGGACAGTGGCTGCTCAAAGAAAGTCCTTCAGTCCTCCTGGGTCTCATGGGCTCACCCCGTGGCATCTCTAACAACAAATGTTGCTGTGGATTAGTAGTAGTATTTCTCATGACATGAACTTCAGCCCTCTTGGAATGGAATAAAACTATCTATCTTGCTCAGAAAGGGAAAAAAAACAGACACCTTATAATAAGCTATTAGTCTAGATACAAGCTGAATCAGCAACTTTCTGGAGAAAATCTTGGACAGCCGTCTGTGACATCAGCCCAGTGTCTAGTTGTATTGACAAGTCCTGCTGTAATTAATTGATAGGGCAGCAGCTTACAGAATTTACTTAACCTATGACAATGCAGAATACTCTTACTGAGWTTTCACAATGGCAAACATTAACAACTAAAAGGATATTTATATTCCAAATGTGCTTAATGCACTTCTTCAGCTGTCAGACTRAAATAAGACATATTTAATAAGGGAAAAAACTTAACTGGGAAGCAAAATAGAGCAAATAAACAAACAAAAACAAAGATATATTAAACTATAAATAGTAGATAATAACTAATAGAGATCATTCATATTGGCCCATTTTTTTAAGGGACATCAAAAATTGCAGAAGAAAGTGAAAGGCATTCTATGATATATTTCTGTCTTTATCCATTTGTTTTGTCTGGCTTCTGTGTTATAACACATTGTAGGAGTTGAGAAAAAAAACATACAACTCTTATAAAAGTAACATTTACCCAACAGAAAAATATTGCTCTTGTTCTGGTTCACCTACTTCCAATTTTATGTTGTAGTTCTGGCCAAGAACACTCTCCAGGAGTTCTTTGATCATCTGCTCCGAAGGAGAAGGAGAAGTAGACTGCAGGGAAGCAATTATTTCATCAATAGACCTTGCAGCCACTCTCACGGGCGATGCTGGTGTGGAAGTAGCCTCTTCACGTTTGCTCTGCTGGAAGTTCTTCTCGTATATTTTCAAAGCGTCTGGTCTGGTCACATCTTTGGCCTCTTCCAACTGTTCGCGAGCAGACCTCACACTTGGCTGCTTGCTTCTTTTTCTCAGCGTTCTGCCTGATTCACCGTCTAGATCGTGCTGATTTGCTTTTGAGATCACGGCACTTCTGTTCTTAAAGTCTGCCTTGGTTAATTTTTCCTTTTTTGGAATATTTTTATTTGAATTAGAGTCTGTTAAGCTAACTCCACAACTATCTTTAATCATGGTTTCTATTTCTTCTGTTCTTCCTCTCCCTAAACTCTGTGAGCTCATCTTTGCTATATGCACTCTACCCTGTACCTTACTAGCAGCTTTTGCCTTTTGTAATGAGCCGGGGGAGTTATTAATAAACAGTCCTGCATGAAACTTAGATCTGCAATAACTCTGCTTTTGAGGTGGTGCTGGGTGCTTAACCATACTTATTTTTTTAGTGGTACCTGCTAGCGACGCTATTACTGGCAGTTTTACAGTTGTATTTTCATGGCTGCAGCTGCCRTTATCCCTCTTGCCTTTTTCAGCACTACTCCTCTGATTTTTACCAGCACTATTCTCTTCCATAGACTTATTTCTTTGAGCCATCGTGCTAAAACAGCAAGTTTCTTAATGTCTTTTACTTCAGAAGACACCCTTATGCTGTCTGTGACCCTCAGAACAACCAAAGAATTAATTAGGAATATTTTTATTTATATTCATGCCGAGCCTACGTGGACTCTTTGACCTCAGAAGAGGGGCAATGTTCTTAACTGATATCCCTGATCTGGTGCTAAATCTCCTAATAATTCCCTAGGTTGTTGGGTTTTTCACCGGTGGCTGGATTTTTGACGCCGTCCCACCAAGATGCCCTGCACAGATCCTCACGCCCCTCAGTGACCTTCGGCCCTTCCAAGCAGCTCAGTCCGGGAGCGCTCGTGTCCCCTAGGAATTTTCTCCCRCCGTCGTTGGTAGCCTGTAAGATAAAACACAAACAGGGCTTTGCGTCACCAACACAGCACCCAAATCCTGCAAACGGAGTTCATTTAGGTAATAACGCCACGGATTTCAACAAGACCCTGCCGAGGGRTATGATAAAGCACCAGGAACAGTCACCAGCGCTTGAGCTACAGGAGCCACGCAGTGTAATTCAGACAACCCCCCCTAACGGGGAGAACAAGAAAGAGGAGGCCCTGACGATGGGAGTGCCCCTGCAGACACGGGGGACACGGACGCTCCCACGCACCTCCCCCCGGGCCGCCCACGGCCACGGCGCGACCCCGCGCGGGCAGCGGCGCCTCGGGGCGCCCCGGCCGGGCGGAGCNCCGCGCCGGGAGGGGCCGGGACGCGCTCCGTCACCTAGCAACGGGGCGGCTCCCGCCGCGGGCAGCGCGCCCTGCAGGGCGGAGGGCAGCGCCGGGCAAATGGCGGGCGGGCGGTGGCGCCGCGGGCCGTGGGGCACGCGGGGGTTAGTCCCGGCCAGCCGGGAAATGGCGGGCGGAGAAACGCTCGGGATTTGAGGCACGTGTTGCTAAGGGCCATGGGAGAGGGTCACTGGCACCGCGATGGCCTCGTTTCTGTGCCAGGGGAACATGGTGCTGCTGTTGGTCGCTGCCTTYGCAAGGCTTTGTGCTGAAAACTGGAAGTAAAAAGTGGCATCGATGGGATTTGTGCATCAGGCTGGCAAGCTACTTTTTTGCAATTACATCTGTATTTTTCAAACCTGAAGACTGAGCTTGGAGCTGAAAGCCAAACTCGGACATCTTTGGCTCATCGTCATCATCATCAATAAAGTTTCTGCCATTGTGCTGTCATTTTAAATGCCCAGGATTGCTTACAACACCTTAGACTTCATCTCAGGCTCAATAAACTGCTAGGCTTTTGAAGTGTCAATATGAACAAAACTCCAAATCTAGTTCTGTGAACTAGAGGTGAATCAAGWAAATGTGCAACCATTTCAGGGACCAGCAAATTTAGGGATGAATGCAGAACTGCCAAAGTCTTAAAWTTTTTTGAAATAAAATAAAAACATTATCCTCTTATGTGTTTTATGGTGATTTAAATTGATTTTTTTTCTATTGCTACAAAGCTAAGTGATAAAAGCTTTGTAATTCAGAAAGCCCAGGTAGTTACTCTATATTTTTCTTTCTCCCTCTTTTTTTTTTCTTTTTCCCTTCCAAAAAGATCTGTTTCAAACTACCTAAACAGTACATAATATCTAAATAATTTGATTTACCTAGAACAACACTGTTGAGCTCCAGAAGAGAAGGGCTGTATGTCAACATGTAGGACAGCTCATTTTGTCTTCTCTCTCGTGTTTCAGTGGCAATGAGGATTTCCCTACTGTTGGTGACCACCACTCAGAGAGAAAGTAAAAATATGAGTCACAATCCTGCCTCGTCCCTTCTTCTAAACCCTGGTTTTCATTTCAGGRTTTTCGGGTGACAGTTCAATCCATACAAAGTCAACTGCATCACTTGAGCTCAACCTCAGTCTCTCTGCCAGCTGAGCCTGGTTGAAAGCATTCAAAATAAGAATGGCTCTGTGAGGATCCCTATACAGAGAACATATAAAAGTATATTTCAAAATTAAAAAAAAAAAAAAGCTTAAAATATTGAAAGATAAAAATCTGCAAGGAGCGGAGAAATATAAACGAAGCTATAAAGGCACAAGCAATGTTACAGCCAGCTTATAACTCTGCATGTGGAATGACAGTCACAGCTAGGCCTACTGTGAGCAGATCAGCAACAACACAGAGTGTTTGCTTTGAAACATTCATTGTGAGTTCATCAGCTCTAGATATTTCCTCTCACTTTCATTTCTAAGAGCATGGAGGGGGTTCCRTCTGTTTAAAGAGCTGACATTCTTCCATTGCTGTTTGCTAGGCTGGGATTTTCCTTCAGTGCAAGTCAAGCAAAATGATTGCTGAAAGTACTCCAYGAGGGAAAACATATGCTCATGAATATAAGACAGCTAGTAAGACTGACTGGCTTAGAGCTGAGAGAAACATCTTTACAAATTTAGGAATGATAACACAAGTAATATTCCATACCTTCTGACTCTGAGCTAAAACAAGGCATCTTACCCAAATTAACCAGATACCTTGAGCCAACCCACAGAATTAGTGGAGGGATGAAGGCATCGACTGCTTTTGGGAATGAGGAGGAAGACTGCAAAATAAATGACTGGATTAGCAGCCAAGCAAAAGAACAAGGATAAGATGGAGGGAGAAGTCAAGAGCAGTGGTAGTAGTATTGAGCTGTAACGCTAATTACTAGGTAATACTAATAAGCATGTCAGTAGGATCAAGTATGGTGCTGTCTGGGTGGCAGCAAATAGTTACTGATTCATTATAGAGGGAAAGAAGAAAAACATATAGCTGTAAAACATACAGCTGAAATGATAATCACAGAAGGTGAGTTTCACCTTAGTCAGTATGTGGTGGGAAAAAAAAAAAAATCAGTGAATAATAATTCTCCCTCTCCCCCACAGCTTTAATTTGGGGGGAAGCAGAGGAGTTTGCCAACAGGACCAGCTCTGCTCTCAGTCTCAGGTCACACAGCTGCTAAGTCTGTGTGCAGCCACACAGCTCAACATAGTTTTTATCTTCCACTGTGCTACTGCAAAGCCTTCTCCTTTGAGAGCATCACTGTGTTCATCTTCCCTTGCACTTCAGAAATCCTTGTGTGGAAAATCCCCAGTGTACTGGAACACAGGGAAAGCTTTTTCCTTTTCCTCAGGTACTGACGTGTGCCGATTTCTTAATCATCATGTGGTGCTGCCCAGAGTTTGGAAGGAAAGTGGAGCATGCTTTGATCCAAGGGATTACAAACCAGGACATCAGGGTACATATGGAGTACGTACACCCTGGCATGGGCTGTCCAGCAGTGCTAGAAGAGTCCTTGGAATGCTGAACAGCAATCATTTAAAGGAAGAGATAGTAGAGATAGCAATAATAATAATAATAATAATAATAATAATAAGAGCAATAATAATGAGATAGCAATAGCTATCTCTTATAGCAATCTCTTAAGCTATCTCTTAATAGCATAGCTAATAATAATAAGCAATAGCAATAATAATAAGAGATAGCAATCTTTTAAAGGAAGAGCATAGCTACTTTGCTAGTTTGCCTGTGACTTACAATTGGATCCTCACTAGATGTTTTACCCAGCTTTGGCATCAATCCCCAGCTGGACAAGAAATCTTTTTCAATTTAAAAAGTCTAAAATTCAACAGTCCCTCTGAAGGATACTGATCTTACAGATACTGCAGTTGAAGCTCAAGTCTACCTGTGCACCAAAACCTGCAGTAAAATTCCTCAAAACCATTCACTGTTACTCCAATATGGAACTAGAAAATCCAAAGTAAGAATGCTCAGACTATTGTTTGCTCATTGAGAGCATCAGCATGATTATTTTAATATTTTTAACACATATATATGTATGTATAGAGAGAGAGAGAATGGCCACAAATACTCAGAAAAAAAATAGTGATTGTATTATAAGATAAAGATATTATAAGATAAAAAACTGAAAGTGAGTTATGACCCCTGAGCATGTAGGACACAAATTTCCCTGCCAGTTATCCTGTGGCAATGGTAATCTGCAGCAGAAAAGCAAGGTAATAAACTGGGGGCACTAATCTCCTAAAACAGTCGGGATAATTATTGAAAAAAAAATCCAAGGATTTGATCCAACTCAAACGAAGCAAATACTATTTTTTCCCACAATAACCAACCTGTATTGAATCCACTGTGCAGCAATAGAAAGGTTTAGTACTGTAAATCATACATTCAATCACCTTGTGAGTGCTGTAAGCGTTATCATTCTCCTAATCACTGTATCATCTTTGATCCATAACAAATATACTCACCCAGCCTCTGCTAATCTCCAATGTGATTGTGAGATATCCTTATTTGWCCGCACTATATCAGCAGAAATAGGKTTTTTTTTCCTGTGATGATGAACTTTGCTTTATTTGTGTGCCAAATTAAAACACATTATTAAACAATGTCATTTCCTTTATAATTCAAAATAAAAGTAGATAAAGAATTCGAAGCAAGATGGTACCCTTCCATTTTCAGATGTGTTTATAATAAGAAAATGTGAATATGAATCCCAAATATATTTTTGGCATGGTGTAACTGTAATAATTTTAGATATGTGCCATGTTATTACATAATCCAAGAGAAATTATATGAGTTACCTCTACAAGAACATCACATACAGCCTTTATTATCAGCACAAGGTCAGAGACATTCCTGGCTTCGAAAAAAGCTATAAGCAATAAACGAAGAAAATACAGTTAAACACCTGCCAAAGTCTTTGCTGGGCTCAGCCCTTTCCTTGCTTTCATTTTAAAATTGAGTCTCATTATCTCTGCTCTTCACTGTCTCATACAACAGGTTTTCCAGACAGCTATTTCAGTCCAACTTTTCTGTTCTTTTAGAACAACAGGTTAACTATGGATATATAGATATGTTTGTCATATCTATATGCCAAGAGATTGTAGATCTCTTGGATTCACAGCTGAAAACTCAACATTGTGGGATATAGGAATCTCATTTAATTTATTCATTAAAGAAAATCTTTGCATCTGGGGAGTTTCTTCAGCAGAAAGGAGATGTCCTGCAAGGAGTGAGGAGAGGCATCTGCTGAGGCTGAAATTCCTGTGATGTCTAAGGGGAATGTA